AGATTTCCGGACAAAACGTGGCTCAGTTTACTCCTAGTAATTAGAGAGAAATATGCAAACATCATTTAGTTCACATATATATTAATGTATAGATAGACTACGCCTATTTTCGCTATTTACAATTTTCACATAAAAATTAATAACAAAAAGAAGCCAGCCAGCTAAATCAATCTGTATAAAATCATATAAATTGTAAAAACCAGAAAACGTGTTTTTTTCCCCGCCAATGAATAAAAACTGATATATTGCCATTGACAATCTTTGGGCCCTTAATGGTTACGTTTATGTTCAGATGTGCACTTAAATGTACTTCTTCTCTATATGTGGTACGAAAAAACTCATAGAAAATAATAGAGTTATGATTAATGTTTTGGATGAGATGGTGTCCACTCTTCAAACCACCACAATGTTCCCTCCCTATCTACTATCGGCGACAAGATGAATAAGATTATGCACGCATTTATTTTAAGCCACTAAACATAACCATCATTCGCTTCTACATTTTATTAAAATATAATATTAAATCATCCATCTCATCGGTTAATTATAATTCAACATTTTAGGTCATCATCCACACGACACAACGGATCATTCACACACGGCCGCGCAAAAAAGATTTCGGAAGTCATGTCACCCCTCAATTCTCTTAATTAAATTTATTTTGATTTTGCATATATTTATATATAACCATAAATGTGTGATCAAAATGTGTTGATGCTGCAGCAAAAAAATGATAACCACCACGTTAGTCATTGTAATGAAGAAAATTCGCATTGTGTTATAATAATAAGAAGAGATGAATAGTTTCGTGAATATTCAGGTTGATACTAAGTTCTCTTTTTGTAGATTCGACAAGTGTTATGAGTGGATAAAACATGAATTGCAAGTGATCTTATATATAGAAATATAATGTAAGTGCATGCTTTTTGATTCTTCGAAACTATTTGCTTATGACTTACGGATATATATACATATGGTTCGGCTTGGCTTGGACGTAAAAGTCTAAATATAATTTGGTATATATTGCTACGTTACATACTTTTTATTGGCACGATACTTTATGATTCGTTAACAATATATTAA